TATTGTAACGATTTGGCCACCGAGAGGCGATGGCGACGTAGGTGCTCGAGCCCTTGATCGCTGCTTGCAGCTTTAATTTCCATTTGTTTTGCATCTGTAGTTTTGTTTCCATTTGTCACACCAAATAAAACCCAGACACCATGGCTCGTTTGTCAAGGGTTATGGCTTCTTGCTTCGGGTGCGAGAGGTCTCAGGTTCAAATCACGGACGAGCCCAGCTTTGAACTATGGTTAAATTTTCCACAACTGTTACATCTGTAGTTTTGGTTCCACATTGCACACCAAACAAAACCCAAGCACCATGGCTAGTAGTATGATTCTTGCTTTGGGTGCGAGAGGTCCCGGGTTCAAATCCTGGATGAGCCCAGCTTTAATTAAGGTTCAACAAATAAATTTTCCACCATTGTTGCATCTGTAGTTTTCTTTCCACTTTGCAGACCAAACAAATCCAATGTTCGATGGATTGTTGGTCTAGGGGTATGCTTCTTGCTTAGGGTGCCAGAAGTCCCAGGTTTAAATCCTGGATGAGCCCAGCTTTAATTAAGGTTCAACACCTAAATTTTCCACCCTTGTTGCATCTGTAGTTTTCTTTCCACTTTGCTGACCAAACAAATCCAATGTTCCATGGATTGTTGTTCTAGGGGTATGCTTCTCGCTTAAGGGTGCCAGAAGTCCCAGGTTTAAATCCCGGATGAGCCCAGCTATATTTATGGTTCAACACCTATATTTTCCGTGTGCTTTGCATCTGTAGTTTTGTTTCCACCAAATAAAACCCACATTCCATGGCTCGTTGGTCTAGGGGTATGATTCTCGCTTTGGGTGCGAGAGGTCCCGGGTTCAAATCCTGGATGAGCCCAGCTTTCATTATGGTTCAACATCTAAATCTTCCACCCCTTTTTGCATCTGTAGTTTTGTTTCCACATTGCACACAAAAAAAAACAACGTTCTATGGCTTGTTGGTATAGGGGTATGATTCTCGCTTTGGGTGCGAGAGGTCCTGGGTTGAAATCCCGGATGAGCCCAGCTTTTATTATGGTTCAACAACTAAATTTTCCACCCTTGTTGCCTCTTTAGTTTTGTTTACACTTTGGACACCAAATAAAACCAAGGTTCAAAGGCTCGTTGGTCTAGGGGTATGATTCTTGCTTAGGGTGCGAGAGGTCCCGGGTTCAAATCCCGGACGAGCCCAGCTTTAATAATGATTCAATACCTACATTTTCCATATGTTTTGCATCTGTAGTTTTGTTTCCATTTGGCACACCAAATAAACCCCACATTCCATGGCTTGTTGGTCTAGGGGTATGATTCTTGCTTAGGATGCGAGAGGTCG